GCTCCTCTCTCCGCTCGGCCATCCTCCCTTCCCCCCATCTCCGGCACTACTGCTGCTGCCCAAGCGGGGTTCCTCTTCTCAGTCGGCCTCGGTAGGTACACCTCATACTTCCGCTGCGCCAACTCCACTCTCTCTGCTAGCTCAAACACCTCTTCAGGTGTCGCCTCAGCCCCCAGCTCGTATACTCGCATCCTCAAGCCTCCTGCCAGCCCCTTGTCTAAGCCGTTCAAGAATTTGCTAATGATCATACTGCTGTCAGTGCACACCACGTCCTCTGCTAGGTTCATCAACCGCCCATAGTACGTTAGAAGTGATTCCTCATCTCGACGCCTGAACTCCTGAAACTCCCTAATGCGCTGGGCCGTGTGCCCTGGAAACTGCTTCCTCTGCCGATCCAGGAACAGTACTGTTGGGTCCTCGCCATCCTCCTCTGCCCTCCTCAACCATTCTCCGATTTTCATGCGGTACAGTGTCTCCGCCTCCCCTCCCAGTGTGTTTGGCAGGCTTAAGAAGAACTCGATAGGGTCCATACCGCTCCGGTCACACCTGTACTTAACATTGCTGATCTGCATCAAGTAGTTCTTCAGGCTCGGGCCAGTCCCTTCATTCCCCGTGAAGCGCACCGGTACCTCCACTCTTGGCTGCGCCGTCGCGGCCCATCTGCCTGTGTCCCAGCTTCCTGATTCTCCCCGAGCTGACTTCACAGCTCCCCGCTGCCTCCCCTTTTCTTCTCTGCTTCCCATACTGGTCCCGTACAGCACTCGCTCCAGCCCCTCGCGGGCTGCTCTCGCTCCTCCAGATCCTTCTCCGTATGGCCGTGGCCTCCTTGGCCCTGTCGGACTTGGGCTCCTCCTCCTCTCATCTCCGTGATCTTCTTTGCGCCTTTCCGCACTATCTCGCCGTTCTGATTTCCACGCAGGCGCGCGCTCCTGGTGCCGCCGCTCAGGCTCTCCTCGCCGCCATCCTCTTTCTTCTGTTCTTGAACCATTCGGCGACCGCTGGCTTCTTTCCTCGTCACGCCTTTCCGCATCCTGCCTTCGCTCCCTTCCGCGCGGGCTTCTCTGGCGCCGATCCTCGTAGTCTTCCTCCTCTTCACGATCCTCGCGCTCCGCCCCTTGCCCTTCACCCGCCGCCATACGTCGTCGGCGCTCATACCTCGGTCCTGGTTCAGGCGAGCGGAAGACACCCGCATGCGCGTTACGTCCTCCTTCGCCCTCCCGATTTGCCGTCGACCGGCGTTCCGCCCCCTTGGCGCTTCCTCGCGGCGCGTCATTTTCACGCCGCCTCACTGGTGAGTGCTCCTCGGCCTTGCCTTCTGCCTCGTGCTTCCGCGTTCCGCCGCGTCGGCTTGATTCCTCATCATCCTTCTCTGCATCTCCTTGCCTTCCTCCTCCCCGCGCAGTGGGGGAATCTTCTCCGTCTTGGCTCTTGGGATTTTCGCCGCCCCGCACAGTCGGGGATTCTCCATCTTCGCCAATTTCGCCGTGCTGCATGCCGCCTTGCGCACCTGTCGCGTCTTCATTTTCTTCCACGCCACGACGCAGCTCGCGTTCTGCCTCTGACGCTTCCTCATGGTATTCTTCTTCGTCCGCTTCATTCGCCGAATCCAGCGACTGCATGTCGACGTCGCCATCGTATTGGCGCGCGCGTCCTCCGTGCTGTCCCTCCGGCAGATTCCACGGATCGCTCCTCGCTGGCCTTCTCCACGGCTCAGATCTGACGCGCGGATCCGATCCGTCATCATCACGGTGCCTGCCCGTAGGTGTCACCCAGTCCGCGCGGTACGCGGCTCTGCGGGGCGAGCGCGTTGGCGACCTCCCGCGCTCCGATGCGCGCCTCCTCCGTGACGGTGAACGCTCCCGCCGTGAGTACATCCGCTGCTCGCGCAGCTCATGGCGATCCATGTCGCCTGCACTTCTCTCGTTTGTGAGAGATTCGGCTCCCACAGCTGGCTACCAAGAGTGGCGTCTGTCACCTGGCTGCTGTAGCTTAGAACGGTAACATAAGTCCACTATGCACTGGTAAACAAACGAGAGAACAAGAGTACTATGCTAGGCTAGGCTTACTTATGCTAGGCCACCCAGTCGCGAGATTCTCAGCGTGATGGGTTGGGCTCGAGCCGCCTTGGCCTTGTATTGGCCTCGTGCCAGATTTCCTGTCTCTCGAGGGCCCTGGAATTGTGCCCGCGGCGCCTTGCAATCCCCCATACCACCAACTTTCGCGCTTCTCCCAATGTCCCAACTACCTGGTGTACAAACTGAATTGACAATTACTATACTGCTTCTACACCCCAGTTAGCTCAGTTACATAATATAATGCTCTTACCATGATATTTAGTGACAGAGTAAGGATCTTGGATAGAGTAAGAATGCGTTAGAAGAGTTTGGTAGCGGAAGTCTTTGTTGTAGGAACTCTGATCATAGTGAATGTAGATGACAAAGTTGATTAAGCATAAAATTACACACAATAAATAGATCTAACTAGCCATGTACTTTGAGGGGTACATTCCCTTATTCCAATTGCTTTACAGTCAAATATAAAGTGACTCTGGCTATTGAACTTCTTCTTGTTACCGAGTCGCTGCGGGTAACCGTACGCGTGGTTGCGCCTTTTGCTATTCCTCGATGGTAAGTCAATCGTCGGTCCAGATGGTCAACAGTCGCGACAGTTGGCTGTTGCGACTGTTGACCTTCCTGCCCTTGATACGGGCTGATCCGATACTGCCGCTAGCGCTGCTTCGATAATGATGGGTGCGATACAGCTGCACCTACGGGAATGCCTAGACTCGATTCCCTTCATACTCCAACACATAATATGCGTATCCATTTTTAGAAGGATGCCTGATTGTCTATGCATGAATGCTGATGGATAAAATTCATTAACAACTCTAGGGAAAACAAGAACCATAGGTAGTAGGCTTGCGCTTTCTATCAAGCTTAGCCTTGGAATGGGGTAATCGCCAATAGAATGTATTTTTTGTTGTTCAAACCATATGGTTCACTGGCACGAAGTGGTGCACATGTGAAATATGTCCACGTGGGAAAGAGCTGCTGCTGTTTTGGCATGCTCATTGTCACATAGTCGGCCACGTCACTTCAGTCCGAGGACACGACGGAGTTCGTGGTCCCTGATTTGTGCGTGAATTCTTACGAATGCAGCGATTTCTTACCATTGTCTGTGATGGTAACGGTGTAGATTAGCCGAGGGCCTCACTATTTGCAAAACGGCAACCAGTCTCACCGGAGGAGGAGGCTTCAGCGGTTGTTGACGAGGACGCGCAGGACCCTCTGTATTCCGCAGAAAGTGGAGCCCTGCGGCGTGGAAGATTGGTCTGGTTGGATGTTCGTGATTCAATTTGCAGCTACCCGAGTAGCGACGCGCCTTCGTCTTTCGCAGGAACTGTATTGTACTGATACAGTTCAGTAAGCAGCTGCTCACCATCGTCGCACACCCAGTCGCAACGGGCTATCACATCAAAAGCATTTTTTCCAATCGCAAAGCAAAAAAGGAGCTCGGCGCGGCACGCGTGGACGCGCCGCAGATACGGTACGATCGCCGCACGCCGTTTGTTTCCCAAGTCGTCCGATTAGTTGTCCAATCAGGTAACGGCATATTGCAGAACGTCGATTGGAGCCCTTTCCACCTAATCGCTTCGTCGTTGTCGTCGTCGATCATGAATGTTACATTCTACCAACCATTCAGGTGCTCATGTGGGCACTTCGTCAACCTCGTTCGTTTCGCAAAAGCAGCAACCGTTCGTTCGTTCCCCTCAAGGACTAATACTGGCTCGTTCATTCCCTCCACAACCACAATTCGTCAAAACTCTTCCACCCACTCCGAAAAGCCAGCTCGCTCGCATCGTTCCCGTCTTTTACGTCATGCGCCTTGCCACATGCGACACGGCGGAAACCCATCACTGTAGAGGATCTCCTCCCACCACCAACCCCGCCGAGCCCAGCCCCCCACCACATATGTGCCGTTCCTGATCCCGCCAGTGTCGTGTGGTGTGGCTCCCTCCCCTCCCTTTCGCCCACGCCACCCCACCCCAATTCCTGTCCAACCAGTTGCAGGACAGGATGCTCACTTGGGAGAACCATTCCATCCAGCACCAGAGATGATCTCTCCCATAGTCTGCAGCAGGCCCAGTAGGCCCCCCAACCCAGCCTGTTTCCGTTTTTTGATCCGTTTTTTCCGCTCCAACTCTCGATTTTGATCTCTCGTTCGACATCCTGTCTCCCGTCCCGCGCGGATCCTTCAAATCCTCTCCTGCATTGACATCCAGTACAATTCAAAATCAGCAGTCTGCTGCCACCCAGCCTATTCCTAGTACCTTACATAACATCCTAATACATCCTGTCAGACACAATCTCGCGCTCGGCTCGCTGATTCGAGCACTCAGCGAAGTGACAGTCTGATCGACTCAGGCCCCGCCCATTGTCCTCCCTACCCACTTCTCTTTCACCGTGACGATTGTTCTCCAGTGCTTTCGAGTGAACGTTTAATTGCGCCCGGCATTTCTCGTATACACATTGTAAGATTGAGTGTTGGTTTGGCGCCCACCCGCTGCGCTCCATCGCCCACTCTCGTGACGTGATTTTCTCGTGTGTTTGATGTATCAAGGATTCGTGTGATCGTGATCCCCCCGGGACACCTCCACTTTATCTAGTTCACAGCCATCTTCCAGCGTTTTCCGACCTACCGAGTTTCTCTTCCGCATCCCTCCCGCTACCATGGTTGCGCCGTCGCCTGTCGCTCTGGGCTCGTCCGCCCGTCCCGCGTCCCCCGTTTTCGCCCGCCGCTGCACCAGCACCAGCGGCACCCGCCAACGAGTCGTACATTCCGACCTTCTCATCCCCGTGGGTTGCGGCGCCAGCGGCGCCAGCGACTTCGACGATTCTACCTCCTTTAACTTCTTCGGTCTCGGCAGTGCCACTGGCTCCGCAATGACGGGCACCGCGCTTCGTCGCGATGGTGCCACAACTCCAAGGAGCCGAGTGTCCATGACCCCCCCACGCGGTCGCCCATCTCCGCCAAGGTTGCGCGCATCATCCCCCCGCGTTTCGCGGGTGATCGTCACCGCTGCTTCCGCCGGCTCCAGCGGCGGGCGCGGTCTCCCTTCCGACGAGCTTGCCCCCGGTACGTCCGGCTCCGCCAACGCCCCGCTGCGCTCCGTGCTCCCCGCGCAGTCCTGGAACTCCCAAGGAACGTCCCCGCGCGGATCGGCGCAGCCTTCGAGCCCGCACCAGCATGCGGCGCACGGTTCCCCCATGAGCACCATCGCCCCCATGGCCCACTTGACCAGCTCCGCCAACGCGGCAGTAACCGGCGGAAACTCCCAGCGCGACTCCCACGTGTGCTCCGCGACTAACGTCACCGTCGCCGCCTCCGCCGCCGTTACCGCCGAGATGGCTGGCGGGATCTCCACCGCGCCCTCCGCTTCCGCGATCCTCTCATCTCTCCCAAGGCTCGCGTCCCTCCCCGCGCTCCCCGCCATGCCCGCGCTGAATCTTGCGCTTCCGCGCATGCGGCGGCAGAAGGAGTGGTTCCAGGAAGAGTCCCCCACGAACGTCGCGGATATTCCCGTGGCGGGGCTGCGCACGGCGGAAGAGTTTGAGGCGGTGATGATGGAAGTATCCATGGCGGCCGGCGCGGCCATGGGATCGGCTGAGGGCCGGCTGGTCATTGTGGATTTTTTTGCGCCGTGGTGCGATGCTTGCAAGGCCGTGTACCCAACGGTGTGCGAAATCGCTGAGAAGAACCCCGATGTTGTTTTCCTCAAGTTCAACCTGGCGGATAATAGAGACCTGGGCAAGGCCCTGGGAGTGAAGATCCTCCCGTTCTTCCACTTCTACCGCGGCCAGCCTACCAGGCTCGATGCCGTCTGCGCGACCATCAAGACTGTAAGCCCCTTCCCTGATTCTGTTTGTTGTGCAACTTTCGCCATGCCTGTCGTGTCTCCGTGTTCGCTTCGTTGTTACAACCCTTCGTTCCCTGCCTTGTGTGGGGACTACCATAACGAGCTTGACTGATAGGACTTTTTCCCTGCCTTGTCCTGGTCTCCTGTGCAGTACCCTCGCCTTGAAAAGTTCCTGAAGAAGTATAACGCCTAGAAATGAGAATGGGTTTCCAATAGAACCTGGTGGTGTCGCTCATCACCACTGTATTTTTACGCATCAAGTGCTGTTCTGCCGTGGAGCTGCCACTGATCCAACATTCTGCTGATCCAACATCATACTGCCATCCACCGCCATCCACACGTGCACGCAAGTGCACACACTTCCTGCCATAGCACAAGGAGTTAGTCCAATGTTACCATGGCTACCTACTGGTAGCTCCTGAGCTGCACTGCATTTCTCCTGGAGCTGCTTGATCCAGTGTGACTGGCAGAAGGCCTGACTGCTTTTGGGTTGATCTGTATGGTGCACCAAATAGAATGGTGCCGGGGTTAGGAGGGTCTTAGGGCGATGGGTGATGCACATGCTGAAGAGGCCGTGCGGAGCACAAAAGTGCGCTGCTGGCCCTTAGCACTGTGCTGTGGGTAGAGCATTAGTTCCTGAGAGCTCTCTTTGAAGGAGATTGGCATTATGAAGTCATCTATACTTTCCCAAAGTTCGAATAAAATGGGATTATAGAATAGCAGCTGGGCTGGGAATATTAGGAAATGTGCATTTGTTATTTGTGCAATGCACAGCTGTTGCACCATGCGGGTACGACATTTGATGGGGTTTCGTACGCCAACCACCAAGCATCAGAACCAGCCGAGACCCAGTTTGGCAATTGTGTGGTTACTTTGCTTCGACGAAATTATTTCCTGCAGAAGCAGACAGCTTTCGCATCAGTTTGGCTTTCTTCGATATCCTGATGCGTTTTTGCATTCGCCACTCTTATGCGACCTGTCAGGAGATTCACGAATCTAGACGAGCGACCTGCACAATCGTCGCACGAGGCACAACCTCCATCGTCGGCTCTGCGAATCCCAAGAGCCCTGCCAACAACAACGGAGATGAGAAACAACCTTGGGAACTACGCGAACCACAGGAAACCACGGGAATGTGTTTTGCAACCTGCTCCTCTCCTTCCTGCCTCCCCTTCCACCCCACCACCACCCACCCAACTTAAAGCCGGCGGCCCAAATTGTTCATGCTTTTAAAAGTTGACCAGAGGGAGTTTTTCTGGTGTGGGCTTTGGCGAGAGTTTCCGATTTCGTCTAGGTTCGGTTTTTTCGCGAGACCCAGCCAACCCTCGGTTTTCCCCCTGGTGAGTGAATCTGTCTTCGAAAGTCCCAAATTGCAAGTGCGTGACTTTCAAAAGCTTGGACACTCAACTTCGTCAAGTTTTAAAAACTTGACCCTCGCGGCCCGCAATTTGGGACGCGGGCTTTAAACAAATCTCCATGCAGTCAACATCACCACTTCCAGGGACTACAAATCCACGGAGGTTTTCACAGATGCAATAGAAAGCGACTACTTCTAGCGCCCTCTCGCTTGTTGGATGCCGAATAGGGAGGGCGTCGATTGTTTAAATAGACCGTCGTGTTAGGGTGTAAGCGTTGTGAGCGAGTGCGAATCTGTCGTGGGTGACGTGTGCGGTCAGATCTGCTGAGGTTCTTGCGAGCATGGCCGCGGTTGAGTGTGTGCGACGGCCATGGCGTGGCGGAGTGGTCGCCGTAGTCCTTGTGGTGGTGACGCTGGCACTGCTTGTGCCTCGAGGCGTCACGGCTAAGCTCTCGACCATGGTTAGTTTCTTTCAAGATACGTGAAGGTCACGAATTTCGGAAAATTACAATGACACAACTTATACCACGAATTTCTTAAGAATTTCACGAATTTAAGTGAAAAAACAACGAAATTTAGTGGACGAATCTGAGCCGGTTCCTAGTAGTAGTTAATAGTCAAGATGTGCTATGGCTGCGTACCCTCCCCTTAGCTTGAAGTTTGGGAATTCTCCAATTCGGCTCTTTGCTCGTGACTCACCGGCGTACTTTCCACTTCTTTTCTTTCCCCGTTAACTCGATCCCTTTTTCTATTCTTGCTATCTTCTTCGTTTTCCGCACTGTCCCTGTGACTCTGACGTTCAGACGGTGTTGGATAGCCCAATCCGAGATACTCAATGGGTCGGACCCTCGGACGAGGTGAGCGCGCGTCCTCCATGGTTGCCCGTTTCTTCAAAACCGAGCACGTGGAAGTAGACTGCGTATTGTGACGCGTTTTTCCAGTGTTTTCGAATTTGTCTGGGTTTGTGCAAGTGATGCTGCGTAACAGCGGGTTGTGTTTATTGACCGATTTACCTGCCAGCCAAATCCAGGCGCTAGGTAGGACTTCGCCCGCCGGCTTGTTTCGTGCTCGCGTTCCGGATATACTACGAGCTGGCCGTGGCGCGCAAAGCAATCCATTCAGATTCACAAGATTCTGAATCGCCCGTTTAGCGGATGTGCAAACTTCAACGGTTATTGCTTCCAACAGGAACTGCTGCCGCGTCTCTGCTTTCATAAGTTCTCGCCCCGTTCGTCAAGTCTACACTCCCCCTCTTCCCCCCCACCCTCCCTTCTCTCTCCCCCTCCCCTCCCCCTCCCCTCCCCCTCCCCTCCCCCCCCCTCTCCCCCCCCCCCCCCAACCTCCCCCCCCCCCCCCCTTCAATTTTCCTCTCCCTCTCCGCTCTCGTCCCCGTCTCGCCCCTCTCTCCCACTAACGTAGATCGTGTTCACGGTCACGGAGGCAGGCCACGTGTGGGTCAGCAGGGATGGAGGCGTGTCGTGGAACGACCATTCCGCACAGGGGAAGGTAGGTATCTACGCCTGCTCGTTCTCCTGCTGGTTGTCGTCCATGCTTTCTTGTCTTATTCTTTGCCCTTCGCTCTCAAGCTTCCTCCCGCTTTGACCTTCTTTTGCTTCCACTGCCCATGGCAGCCCCCACTCCTCCCCTCCCGTCCGCTTTCGTCCGCTCCCGTCCACTCCCATCCCCTCTCGTCCCCCTCCCGTCTTGTTCCCCACTTTTCCCTGCTGCAAAATACCCCTATTTGGCCGCATCTCCCCTGCGCGGCTCTTTCTCTCAACTTCCAGCACTTTTCTTGCTGGCCTTCCATCGTCTCCCTTTCTCACTCGACCTCCACTCCTTGCTTGTCTCTCCATCTGTTTCTGTGTTGTGCGCGCAGTTACCCGGGGGAACGGACATCCCATCAGCCAAGGGGTGAGCTTCTCCTCCTCCTCCTCCTCCTCCTCCTCCTCCTCCTCCTCCTCCTCCTCCTCCTCCTCCTCCTCCTCCTCCTCCTCCTCCTCCTCCTCCTTTCCTGGCCACCTCCCCCAAACCTCGTTTCCCTTCATTTCCCTCTTTTTCTCTCCGCCATCTTCTTCCCCTTCTCCTTCCCTTCCTCACCTCCATCGTCACCTGTTCCTCCCTCAATCCACACCCCCGACCTTTCTTTCGTTGCTGTCCCGTTTCCATCCGTAAGCAATCCTGGCTGCGTTGCCATGTGTGTGCATGTGTGCCTGGTTGAATGCGTGGATGGGCGTGGATCGTGTTCATGTGTTCATGTGTCCGTGTGTGCATGTATGCTTGCGCACATGATGTGCACGTGTCCATGTGTGCATGCTCATGTGTACATGTGCACATCTATTCATCTGTGCATCGGTGCATGTTTGCTTGCACGCATGCATGTGGCTATGGGTGTGCCATGAATGAATATGTGCGCGGCTGCGCCTTTATAACAGTGCGTACGAGCCGCCCAAGGGAGTGCAGGCGTTCTACTTCCATCCTTCCACGCCAGAAAAGATGTTCTTCAGGGGCGGAGGCGACACGCACTGGATCACCACCAACGCTGGTACACACACCGTTCCCCCTCCCCGCCCCTCCCGTCCCCTCCCGTGCCCTCCCGTCCCCTTTCCTCCCCTCCCCTCCCCTCCCCCCACTCCTTCCCTCCCTTCCTTTTACGAATCCATTAAAACACTTGAGTGGTTATCTTTTGGGTGGCCTGGATCATTGCGAGTGCAAGTACGTTCATCCTCGCCCGCTGCCCCATCCCACCCCGCACCCCTGCCCCCTTCCCACTGCTTCTTATTTTCACGCAGCTGTGTGTGTGCTCGCGTTTGAGTGTGTACGTCTCTGTGTGTGTACATATTTGCATGCATGTGTGTGTGTGTGTGCGTGTGTGTGTGCGTGGGGGGGGGTGTGCGTCTGTGTATGTGTATGTGTGTGTGCATGTGCACATGCTTATGTGCGTGCAGGCGAGTCGTATGACAGGGTGGAGGGGCCGGCAGGGCACATGGGAGTGGCCACAGTGCGTCTACACCCCATGGAGAGCGACTGGGTCAGTGCTTTCCCTGCCTTACTGCCTTACTGCCTTCCTGCCTTACTGCCTTCCTGCTGCCCTGCCTACCTTCCTGCCTGCCTTCCTGCCTGCCTTCCTGCCTCCGTGCTCCCCTGCCATCCTGCATCCCCTGCCTTTCTGCTTCTCTGCCTTACGTCTCTCGTATGCCTTGCTCTAACCCTTCCCCATGCCCCACCCCTGCCCCACTCATGCCCCACCACACTGCGCCCACGCCATGCCGTTGCGCTGCCTCTCATGGATCCCATCCTTTCTACCTGCCTGCCCGCCTGCCCGTCTGCCTGCCCGCCTGCCCGTCTGCCTGTCCGTCTGCCTTCCCGCCTGCCTGCCCGTCTGCCTGCCCGCCTGCCTGCCCGTCTGCCTGCCCGCCTGCCCGTCTGCCTGCCCGCCTGCCTGCCCGCCTGCCTGCCCGTCTGCCTTCCCGCCTGCCTGCCCGCCTGCCTGCCTGTCTGCCTGTCTGCCTGCCTGCCTGCTTTCCTGCCTGCGTGCCTCCCTGTCTGTGTGTCCACTGATGCATGTGTCCCCCACAGGTGCTGGCGATGGTGCGGCGATGGGCGTGCTGGTCCAAGGACGATACCCAGCGAGGGGCATGCGCCGACGATGTCAGTTCGCTTCCCGCTGCACTCTCTGCATTCTGTCTACTCTTTCCTTTTCTACATGATGTGTCACATGCTGGATACTTGGCACGAACATGCCACAGTACATACATGGCACACACATGCCGCATGGCTCACACATGCTGCATCGCATGCCACATCACATGCCACATCACCTGTCACATCACATGTCACAGCACATGCTGCATCTCTTGCCACACACATACTCCTCGCCACTTGCAACTTACTTGCAAGCCATGCTGCCTCATTGCATCACCGCCCCTAGCCGTCCTTCCTACCTCACTTCGTACCCACTATATAAGTCCATTCACCCAACCGTATACCCCGCTTGCGTTCTAAGACGCCTCATTAGGAATCTCCATGTTCACTTCTTACCCACCCATGCATACCTTGCTCGCCTATGCCTTGCCTGTTATCCGCCCTTTTCCCACACCAAGCCCATCCATCGCTCTCCTTCCTTCCCCTTTCCCCCTTTTCCCCCAACATCCGTCTGTTTTTTCCTGTTTCATCTCTTCATCAACACCATGTTTCGCGTCTAGACTGTTCTCCCTCTCTTTCCCCCAACCTCGCCTCCCCCTCTCTCCCTTCCTCCTCCCCTCCTGCCCGCGCCCCAATATATTCCGCACTGCGTGCATGCACCAGTTGTTCCTCACAAAGGACTTTGGCCGCACATGGCAGAACCTCACAGAGAGGGCTCAGGTGCGTGCTGGGGAAGGCCGGATAGGGCAGCGAGGGGAGGGAAAGGGGGTGGGGGGGTCAAGGGGGAAATGAAGGGACAGGGGGGCAGAAGTGGGTGAGGCGGGGCGGTTGGGTTGAGAGTGGTTGATTGTTTTTGCTGATGAGGGTTTTCCTGAGCATGGTTGTGTGGGTGGATACCGCTTATGCCTTTCTTTTTCTTTCTTCCACACACTGCTTCCACTCCATTTGTTGCCATCTGAGGCACTCACTCTTCTCCTCCCCCAACCCCCCTTCCCCCTCACATCCCCACTCCCCCCCTTCCCCCTATCATCCCCACTCCCTCCCTTCCCGCTCTCATCCCCACTCCCCCCCATACTCGCTTCTTTGAGAATTCGCAGAAGTTTATTACAACATAGCTAGCCTGCAACCGCATTACTTCGTTTCTATCTGAAGCGCTCTCTTCTTTTCTCCTCCCCGCCCCTCGCCCTTTCTCCCACCCCTCACATTCTCCCGCTCTCACTTTCCCTCTTCTTCTCGCCCCACTATATATTTTCCTTTTCAGGGTCGCGTTCTTGGCTTTGTGGACTTTGACTGGGGCTGGAGCAAGGTGAGTGTGTGTGTGACCTGTGATGAGCCTTTCACCCCTTCTCTTCCTCCTCTTACTCTGTCTTCCCCTCTTTCTTCCCCTCGTACTACCTCTAATCCCCCCGTATTCCGTTTTTCCACGCCCGTCTTTCTTTGCTTTCCTCCACTTCCCCCTCCTCCCCCCTTCCCATCTTCCTTCTCAGTATATTCCCTGTCCCAGCCCGTTCGTACCCCTTGTTCACTTGACATCCTTTGAAGTAACACACTTGTTTGGTAACCGTGTTTATGCGCACACGTGCGCGCACGTGTTCGCGCATGTGTGTGCGTATCTGTGTCTGTGTCTGTGTCTGTGTCTGTGTCTGTGTCTGTGTCTCTGTGTGTCTGTGTCTCTGTGTGTCTGTGTCTCTGTTTGTGTGCAAAGTGGCATGCATGTATGTATGCATGCTTGCATTAATTCTTTGTCTCTCTTGCAAAACCACACATGCCTGTCTCGCTCTACCTCTCTGCCTGCCTGCCCCTCTGCCTGCCTGCCCCTCTGCCTTCCTGCCTGCCTCTCTGCCTGCCTGCTTCTCTCCCTGCTCGCCTCTCTCCCTGCCTGCCCGTCTGTCCGTCTGGCTGTACTCTGTCTGCCTGCTGCCATGCCTGTTGCTTCTCCCAATCCCCCCAGACCCCTGGCCAAATGAACCACCACACCAGCTACACTCGGGTACGTCTCTCATAACCGCCCAGTTCCCCACATACCAAACTCTTCATGGCAACTTACCTTGATGCATCTATCCTCTTATCTATCCGTGCTCACATTCGCGCTTGCATCGCCTTACTGTTGAATCTGGATCCTTACCAATTGAAACCTGTCTCTGAGAGAGGGAGACTCTACAGGCAGAATCCCATCAATTCAAACACTTCCTCAATCCCTTCTTCCCTCTTCCCCTCCTTCCCCCCCTTCCCCACCCCCCACTCCCCCGCCCTTTCTCCCTTCCTTCCCTGCCCTGCCCCCACCAGGACACGATCCTAGCAACGGTCTTTAAGAACTGGGACGAGGTGTGGGAGCATCTACGTGCCACCATCGATCAACTCACCCCCCCGCTCCTTTCCCCCTCCCATCCTGCCTTTTCCCTTCCCCCCTCCTCCCCCCACCAGGACACGATCCTGGCAACGGTGTTTGAGAACCGGGACGAGGTGCGGGAGCATCTGCGCGCCAACGGGGTGGCGCTGGCGACGGGGTGGGACGCGTACGTGGACTTTGTGCACACCAGCGACTACTTTGGCTCCAAGCACACGCGCACCGTGCCCTGCGGCAACCAGTTTGAGATCATGAACGACAAGCTCTTCCTGGTATGTCCCTTCTGAATCTGCTCAAAGGTCACCACGTTGCCATGTCACTTAAGGTGCTGTGTACACGGAGGGGTCACAAGGGGAGCTGCTTTGGCATTAAGCACACGCCACGTGCACCGTGCCCTGCGGCAACCAGTTTTGAGATCATGAACGACAGGCTCTTCCTTGTACGTCCCTTTTGAGGCGCCTCGAACGTTCCCCAATTCCTTTTGCCTATCTTGTTAGGGGTCATCAACGGCAGGCTCTTCCTCGTACGTGGCACTAGACTTGAGTCCGTTTTGAGTTCACTCAAAAGTCACCTTGTCACAATGTTACTCGGAGTGTTGTTTACTCGGAGCGCTGCTTTGGCATTAAGCACACGCGCACTGTGCCGTGCGGCAACCAGTTTGAGATCATGAACGACAAGCTCTTCCTCGTACGTTGCTTGCGCTTGAATTCGTCTTGAGTCCTCTTAAAGCCCCTTTCTGAATATTTTTTTGAGTCCACGTGAGTCCACTTGCAGCCGCTCCGGCGTGCGGCTCAAGATCTCCTGCAGACTACGGAGGTTCCTTCTGGGACGCCTGCCTCCCATACCCTCCACTTGCCGCTTCCTCTCTCCCATCCTCCACCCTCTGCCACCCCATTGTCACCCACCGCCTCCCTCCTCCGCCCGCCACTTGCCTGCTCTTCCCCAGGCGGTGGCAGAGGGGTGCAGCGAGGCAGGAGCGCGCACAGAAGGCGGCCGATCCGGCGTGCGGCTCAAGATCTCTGCAGACTACGGCGGCTCCTTCCGGGACGCGTGCTTCCCGTGCCCACCACCTGCCTATTTTCCACCCTAACCTGTCCCGCCCTACCATCCCTTCCCCCTTTGTCACCCCACTGTTGCCGCCACCTCCTCCTGCTCTCCCTTCCCCCCAACCTCCCATCTTCCCAGGCGGTGGCAGAGGGGTGCAGCGAGGCAGGAGCGCGCACTGAAGGCGGCCGTTCCGGTGTGCGGCTCAAGATCTCCGCAGACTACGGGGGCTCCTTCCGGGACGCGTGCTTCCCACGCCCGCTCGTGCAGCGGGGGTACTCTGTGGTCCACACGACGGCAGACACGGCGTTTATGAATGTGGACTATGCGGAGGGGTCGCGTGTGTCGCCGTACGGGGACCTGCTCGTGGCCGACGAGTCGCTCTCTCTGTTCGGGCTGGCTCTTAGGAGGAACGCCAGGAGCATCAGCGGGGCTGTCGACTTTGCTGCTCTGCAGGTGCGATTTTAGTTGGCATGGTGCAATTTCGGGAGGCAGCGAGAGAAAGGGACTGGGGGGCTGGGGAAGGGGAGGAGGAGGGGGCTTGGCGGTGAGGAGTGTATGGTTTGTTTGGGGTTCTGTGTAGGCACAAGCACAGGGGTGCACACGACAGCACACTTGTGGTTTGTGAATGTGGACTATGCGGAGGGGTCGCGTGTGTCGCCGTACGGGGACCTGCTTGTTGCCGACGAGTCGCTCTCGATGTTTGGGCTTGCGCTCCGGAGGAATGCGAGGAGAATCAGCGGGGCCGTTGACTTTGCCGCTCTGCAGGTGCGCTTCCATTTAATGTGGTGCTGTTTCTGGCAGCAGTGGGAGGAAGGTGCTGGGGGGCTGGGGAAGGGAAGGATGAGGGGGTTGGGGGGAGCGATGAGGAGTGTCGGGCTTGTTTGGGGTTCTGTGTATTCACGAGCACGGTGGTGCACACGACGGCGGACACGGCGTTTGTGAACGTGGACTATGCGGAGGGGTCGCGTGTGTCGCCGTACGGGGACCTGCTCGTGGCCGACGAGTCGCTCTCGCTGTTTGGTCTGGCTCTTAGGAGGAACGCCAGGAGCATCAGCGGGGCTGTCGACTTTGCTGCTCTGCAGGTGCGATTCTAGTTGGTATGGTTTGGTTTGGGGCAGCAGCGGGAGGAAGGGATGGGGGGCGGGGGAAGGAAGGGGGTGGTTTGGGGGAGCAGGGAAGAGTGTAGGGTTTGTTTGGGGTTCTGTCTATGCACGAGCACAGTCGTCCACATGACGGCAGACACGGCGTTTGTGAACGTGGACTATGCAGAGGGGTCGCGTGTGTCGCCGTACGGGGACCTGCCCGTGGCCGACGAGTCGCTCTCTCTCTTTGGCCTGGCTCTTAGGAGGAAGGGAATGGTGGGCAAGGGAGGGGAAGGAGGGGGCTTGGTGTGTTCTGCACTGTGCTGCGCTAGGTTATGCTGGGCTGAGCTGCGGTGGACTGGTGGATTGAGAAAGAGGAATGTGGGTGTGTGGTTTTTGTCGAGGGAAAGAATCAAAGAGGCGGAAGAAGTTCTGGTGAAGGGATTGATTCGTTTGTGAAGAAGTTCTATTTTCCTGTGTGGGATTGTTGCCTTTGTTGTGCGCCAAATTTAAGCGTGACTCTTAGACACCTCTATTCAAGTCGTGCCAATAACTAGGTGCTTACTACCAATCTTCGCATGGTCTTCTCCCCCAACGCTTTCCCTGCCCCGCTTCCACTCCCCCCTCCCCTTCCTCCAACCACACCCTCTTGATTTCCTCATTTCCAACAACTCCTTCATACTTTACTCCCTACTCGGACACCTCTCGCTTATTCCTGCCGCATTCTGTTTTTCTTATAATATTTTCTGTGTTTGGAGGTAGACAGAGCCCCATACAGGCTAAATAGAACCCAAACCTGCAATTTTTTCCTCCTTCTCGCCCCCTAACCTCCTCCATATGTTCTTGATGCTCTGTTCCCTGAACCCGAGTCCTCTCTCCCCGTTTCTTCTCTCTGTGCGATCACTCTCTGAATATTCTCCCTGCCGCAGGGCCTGCCTGGAGTGTATGTGGCAAATCAGCTCTCCGAATACGTGGAACCCCCGGTCAGTCAGTGAGGCAGTGTGATGTGACTGAGGAGTGAGCTTTGGTGCAGTGCGGTGCAGTGAGCCTGGGGTTGTTGGGCCTGAGTTAGTTAACCATCAGCCTCCTTGTCCAGCCATTCTGGTGTAAATCATCCCCGTTCACTCTTCCCCCTTCCACCCCGTGTCTGCTCCCTCTCTCTCTTCCACCCCTTTCACGCCCCCCTCCACTCCTCCCTGCTTCTCTTTCCCTCACCACCGCCTCAATCCCCTCTGTGTGGGTCGCACATCATGTGGAGTGTTTTGGAGAATCCCCCAAAACACACTGCATCCTCCACCTCGTCCCCATCCTCCTCCCACTGCCCCCGCTTCTCTTTCCCTCCTGCGCCACCACCTGAACTCCCTCTGTGTGTGTCACTCGTTGTGTGTCCTGCCCCATTCCCCCACCATCGGAGCACTGCAGGCGGCGAAGCATGGTGGTGCGGGCACCACAGAGGAGGATGACATGACATTCGCCCGCTCCACCACCCTCATCACATTCAACTCTGGCGCCTCGTACGTTCCTCTTCCCCTCTTCCCCTCTCCCCTCCAACCCCCCCAGCCCATCCTCTCCACCCCCCCTCTTTCTCCACCCCCCCCTGTCTTTTCTGCCCGTTGGAATTCTCGAAAGTGAATACATATCTTTTAGTTTTGAGAGGTCTCAAAATTTTGAGACGTCTCAAAATTGGAATTCTCGAAAGTGAATACATATCTTTTAGTTTTGAGAGGTCTCAAAATTTTGAGACGTCTCAAAATTGGAATTCTCGAAAGTGAACACATATCTTTTAGTTTTGAGACGTCTCAAAATTTTGAGACGTCTCAAAATTGGAATTCTCGAAAGTGAATACATATCTTCTAGTTTTGAGACGTCTCAAAATTGGAATTCTCGAAAGTGAAATCTTTTAGTTTTGAGACGTCTCAAAATTGGAATTCTCGAAAGTGAATACATATCTTTTAGTTTTGAGACGTCTCAAAATTTTGAGACGTCTCAAAATTGGAATTCTCGAAAGTGAATACATATCTTTTATTACATTCAACGCCGGCGCCTCGTACGTCGCTCTCTTCCGCCCTTTCCCCCCCCCCCCCCCTTCCACCTCCTCCGTCCTCCCTCGGCCCCCTTCCCCCTCCTCTTCCCCGGTCCCACCTCCTCAGGTGGGAGCCCATCAAGGCCCCAGTGTACGACACCAACCGCCGCCCCATCCACTGCGACTCGCACGACGGCTGCTTGCTCGCCCCACCCCTCATCCATTCCCCTTCTCTACCCATGCCTCATCCCCTTCCCCACCTCCACACCCGTCCCCCTTTTCCCCCCTCCCTTCCTCGCCCCCCCGTTCCCTCACCCGCCCCTCCTCCCCCTCCCGGTTCCAACCTCTTCCACCCGAACCTCCCTCCCCATCGCAGGTGGGAGCCCATCAAGGCACCAGAGTACGACACCAACCGCCACCCCATCCACTGCAATCCACGCGACGGCTTCTCCCTTCACTCCTCATCCATTCCCTTTCTCTACCCATACCTCATCCCCTTCCCCACCTCCACACCCTTCCCCCCCTCCGCCTCCCTGGGCCCACCCCTCCTCCCTCTCTCGATTCCAACCTCTCCCACCCGAACCTCCCTCCCCGTCTCAGGTGGGAGCCCATCAAGGCCCCAGAGTACGACACCAACCGCCACCCCATCCACTGCGACCCGCGTGACGGCTGCTCCCTCCACCTGCACGGCACCACCAGCTGGATCGGCGGCTCCGGTTTCGCCTTTGTCTACTCCCACGCCTCCACGCCCGGACTCATCATCTCCACAGGCAACGTGGGGACTTTCTTGTACCAGGACTCGACTATCAACACGTATCTGTCGCGGGATGGAGGGCAGACCTGGGAGGAGGTGGCCAAGGGGTCTCATATCTACGAGTTTGGGGATTCCGGTGGGGTGATTGTGATGACGAAGCACGGGCTGCATACGGCGTCAAGCACGGTTATGTATTCGCTGGATGAGGGGCTCACGTGGGAGGAGGAGGCGTTTGCAGAGGCGGAGCAGCAGGTGGATATTTTCAATATTCGGGTGGAGCCGGATAACCAGGGGAAGAAGTTCCTCATTCAGGTGAGTGTTTGAGAAGGCTCAAAAGCTGTGGAATATTGGGGGTGGAGCCGGATGTACAGGGAAAGGAGTTTATCATTCAGGTGGGGGTTGGAATGAGCGGGGAAGGGGGGTAATGGTTGAATGCCAGTGCAAACTTCTACACATGCTCATATGAGTGCGTAGCGTAGACACGCTTTTGCATGTGCTCACACACGCCCGCACACACTCTCATGTGCTCAGATATGAGTGTGGATACTCACTCTTGCACACCCCACACGCTCACCCCCTCTCCTCCTCCCTGCCTCCCTTCCTTGCCCCACCCTCCCCCCTCCGCCCGTCCCCTCAAACCAGGGTCTGACTATGGACGACGGCACTGGGAAGGCGAGGCAGGGGGTGCTAATTTCTCTGGACTTCGCAGCGCTGCCCGAGTACAAGCTCTGCAAGAGCAGCGACTACGAGTTCTGGACGCCCACCGCCTCCCGCTGCTTCCTCGGCCAAAACATCTCCATCCAGCGCCAGGTACAGCGAGTATCTTGAGGCAATACTTGAGGTATCTTGAGTCCCCGCAAGTATCGCCTCAAACATCTATCATCTGGCTTGTCTGCAGAAGGGACTATTTCTGATGTCGACTCAGCTTACTAGTTCTGAGGTCCCTTGTCTTGTCTGTCCCTATTCCCCCATTCTACTCCTCCACCTCTGCCTCCTTTGTCTTCCTCCGCCTCCCCTCCCGTGCCCTCCCGTCCCCGCTCATCCAAGTGTAAGAACGGTGAGATATACAAGCCCCCCGCCCCTCAGATCACCGAATGCGCATGTGGTCCCAACCCAACCCCATGTGTGTGTCCCTATTCCTTTGCCCTCCCTTTGTCCTTCTCCCCGTCCCCTCCCTCCCATCCCTGGTCATCCAAGTGTTGGAACGGTGAGGCATACAAGCGCCCCGCCTGCCCCTCAGATCATCGAATGCGCTCGTGGTCCCAATCCCACGTGTGTCCCTATTCCTTTCCCCTCCCTTTGTCCTCCTCCCCCCTCTGCTCCCCTGCCAGCCCCGCTCATCCAAGTGTTGGAACGGCGAGTCATACAAGCGACCCGAGAATCAGATCACCGAATGCGAGTGCTCCGAGAACGACTACCAGTGCGATTTCGGTACCGAGCCCGATGCCACAGAGCCAACCACGTGCCGCCACCTGTCCGCATTCGCAGTCGACAGCTGCCCCGCTCTTGCCGGCAAGGGCTTTAAGCCGAATCCGGACAACAAGCGGCAGATTGCGGGGGATAAGTGCAAGGGGCATTGGTCTGGGGCTGGGAGCAAGAGCAGCTCCAGCTTCACTCCTGGTGCTACTAGCAGCAGTTACAGTGGTGCTGGGTTCAATACTCACAGCACTAGCAGTAGCAGCAGCTGGTTCCATTCTGGTGGGGGAAGCAGCGGCAGCAGTGGCAGTAGCAGCAGCAGCTGGTTTCACCCTCGTGGGAGCAGCAGCAGCAGCAGCAGTATCAGTCAGAGCGGTACTGTGAGTCAGGCTGGAGTGAGCAGCCACACCCGCTATAACCCTCCCTCTCCCAGCGAAGCCTACGAGAGCAGCAGCAGCAGCAGCAGCAGTGGCAGTGGCAGTGGCAGTGAGCGGCATGGGTGGGGTATTTTCGGCACTATCTTTGCGGTCTTGCTGCTGGTGGTGCTGGCAGGGATTGCTCTCACCATGTTGGCGGCTCGGGGCCTACTCCCGGATAGTATCCTGCGCTACGTGCCTTACCTTGAAAATGTACGCTACCAGAACCTTCGCAGCAACTTCCAGTCGCTCGCGCACGACTTTGGGCTGGGTGGTGGGGATGATGATTACGAGGAGATGTATCGCAGGCCGTAGGGAGGAGCAGAGGGGGAAACATGGTGGAAACGTGGATTTTTAAGTCGACTCGAAATCGCTCGCGCATGACTTTGGGCTGGGTGGTGGGGGGGATGATTATGAGATGTACCGCAGGCCCCAGGGAGGGGCAGAGGGGGGGCATGAGGGAAATGCGTTTGGGACGGGGTTCGGATTGAGATGAGATGAGATGAGATGAGATGGATGCTGGGATCGAACGGGATCGAACGGGATGAAAATTAAGAGCTGTGTGGTGCACGCTGTTTGTGGGTGGGATTTGATTCAAGAACTGATCGGTTGTGAGGATGAGTAGGAGAAGTTCTTTATGCTGGTTTGGTTCAGGATTTTAAGAGGAATTATGAACAGGATTAAGGGACTGAAGCATTCCAGATAAGGGGGTTGGAAAAGCGGTTTGGGGAGGGGATTCATGATACAGTATAGCATTGAGGGAGTGCTACTTCCCTGTGGCTGCATTGGTATTCATTTGTGCATAGTATGCTTTAGAGGAACCTTAAAGCCAGGATCTCAAGTAGTTTGGCTGTTTTGCAGTTAGTGAATTGTGTTAGGCTGTGATTGGCTGACGAGGTAGAGTAGTTGACGAGAGCTGAAACGAGGGATGCGAAGCAAACAAAAATCGCAGTGAACTTCCGAACCAACTAGGCACGGAAATCTGGTTGGGTTCCGAAGCTCATTTCCCAGCAATGTGTCTCACTTGCCGAAAAATCTCATGCACAGCAATTTGTTTTGCAATTGAGATTCACGGGCAAATCGGGGATCAGTCGCACACTGAACCTCCAACCCAACCACTCGATTTTGCCTAAACAAACAGGGTGACTCGAGCTGCAAGTGTTTTGCAATTGAAGCCAATTTCTCTTACTTGAGATCCTGGCTTTAACACTCATGTTCTGGCACTTGAGTTTGTCCTGTTTACTAGCAAACATCATGGGTGAGTATGACAATGACCCATAATTCTGTAAAGCGCTGTGCAAAACTCAGCAGAACCATCGTATGCGTAGTAAGAGGTTCGGCCTTTAGCGAGGAATTCTTGGCTCGCACCGCCTGCTGTTGGCCCCGGCGGTTGCGCACCGCCAGCAAGTCAATCCACTCGTCCTCTCTAATCAGCATTAGGTTCTGCGCTGCGCTGCATAATTAACAGAATTCCGACTCGTCGACAAACGTGTGACGCGTCCCCCTCCGTACCAGCCGCAGCAGTAGCTCCTTCAGCGAGCAGAAGGATTCGCTTTCGACAACTACCTGTCGTACCGAATCTGGGTTCAGGATTCTGAAGCACTAGTGAGCAGAAGCGGCGCGAAAGCTAGGAGAAAATACGTTGACTTTTGAGTCGACTCAAAAGTCACTAGCGAGCAGAGGCGGCGCGAAAGCTAGGAGAAAATACGTTGACTTTTGAGTCGACTCAAAAGTCACTAGTGAGCAGAGGCGGCGCGAAAGCTAGGAGAAAATACGTTGTTGACTTGTATCGAAAGTTGGTGAGATAGAAGAACAACTGATCCGTATTACTTTTGAGAATTCTCAAAGGTAGCAACGAGCAGCAGTGGACGAGAGCGCTGCTCCATTTACGATCGGCGAATTCTCCCCCTGTCCCCCTGCCTCCCCCGTGCGCACGATCGGCGGATTCTCCCCGCGCGAAGCCATGGCAATCCGATTCCGCCTTCCGCCCGCGCTACCCCCGCCCTCCTCGTCTCGTCCCGCTATCTGCGGACAAAACCGGAACAACTCTCCACGCTCCCCGTCCCATTCCCCTTCCCCTTTCCGGCCGCTCCCGCCTCTCTCCCTCCTCTTACTCCTCCTCCTCCTCCTCCTCCTCCTCCTCCTCTCGCCGCCCTCCCGCCTCCCCCTCCCCTTCCCCCTCCCCCTTTCCCTCCCCCGCTCCGCTCCCCTCACCGCCTTTGCGCGCGAGCGGAGCAATCTAGGCCAGGGCGACTACGATATGTGGGATTACGGCGGGGAGGGCGGAGAGGCGGGCGGGCAGGCGGGGGAAGGCGCAGGCGCGCAGGCGTGGGCGGAACCGGGTCCGGGGGAGCATGTAGAGGGGGTGCTTGATCTGGACGATGTGACTATAGCGAAGGTGGTGGGGGGGAGATGGCGCGTATTGGTGGAGTTTTACAATCCGAGCGACGAGGCGAGCAAGGTGAGACGGAGGGGGGAGCGGGAGAGAGAGGGGGGAAATGGGGAGGGAAGTGGAGGGGAAAGGGGAGTGGGAGTGGGAGGGTAGGGGATTGGGGGAGGTGGAAGGGTAAGGGGCTGGGCCTGAGGGAAATGGGAAAGAAGGGAACGGGAAAGGAGAGGGAAAAACGGGGAGAAGAGAAAAACGGGGAGAGGAGAAAAACGGGGAGAGGAGAAAAACGGGGAGAGGAGAAAAACGGGGAGAGGGGGAAACAATGACCCATCATTGCACTGCACCTGATTCTCTTCCCAAGCCCTCAACAACTTTCTTTACGCCTCTATGCCCGCTCCACACCCCCCTCCCCTTTTCTTTCCTCCTTTTCCCCTCGTCTCCCCCTTTCCCCCATGTCCCCGCCTCCTTCCCCCCATCGTCTGGTGCCGCTCAGAACGCACTGCCCCACCTGCGCCAGGCGTCTATATTGGTAGTGGACCGCACTGACTGCCTGCTGGCCAAGGTTGGTTCCTGGGTTTCTGTCTGAGTTCCTGGGTTATTGGCCTCCTTCCCTCCATCGTTCGGTGCCGCTCAGAGCGCACTGCCCCATTTGCGCCAGGCGTCTATATTGGTAGTGGACCGCACTGACTGCCTGCTGGCCAAGGTACGCCCCTTGCCTCCTGCTCTCCTGTTCTCCCGGCCTTTTGGTCTCCCAGTTTCACGGTTTCCTGGTTGCCTGGTCTCCTCGTCTCCTCGTCACCTTGTCGCCTGGTCTCCTGGTTTCAGTTCCGTCCCATGCCACTGCCCATACCTGCACCCATACGGGCCATACCCACTCCCACATCCGCCTCAACAACCGCACTTTCAAATCCTCGTTCCCATATCCTCACACCCGTATCCCCGCTCTCATCCACATTCCCAACCCGTTCAATCATCCCTGAATCACTGTGCCAGGTGGACGCGTCTAAATACCCCCGCCTTGCAGCGAGGCATGGCGCTGCATCGTATGTGATGGGATGGGATGGGATGGGATGGGATGGGATGGGATGGGATGGGATGGGATGGGATGGGATGGGTTGGGATGAGATGCCTGCCCATGCCCACCTCTATTCTCGCTGCTCCCTCGTGACTTCTAAGTTGATACGAAAAGAGTCATCGCTGCTGCAAGAACGATAGCATTTCATGTTTTCTCCTCACTTCCCACTTCTCATGGTGCAGAGAGTGCAACCTGCCAGCACTTCTCTGTTCACCCCCTCCATCCATCCTCCTTCCTTCATCTCTCACCTCCCTGCTTTGAAACTCTTTCTCCCGCTCAAATCTCTTTCTCCGCCCTCCTCTTGTCTCATCACACCCCCCTCCCCTCTCCCTCCCCCCCCCCCCCCCCCCCTCCTCCCTCTCCCCCATACTCCTCCCCAATGCAGCCTTCCTCACTTGGTACTGTTTGACGCAAATGACTCCCTTGGCACAAGGTGAGTCGTCGTGACTACTACCTTTCTCTCCCCACTCTCTCCGCGTGTGATGAGTCTGTTTTCTAGTCGACTCGACTCAATGCAGCCTTCCTCACTTTGTACTGATTGGCGCAAATGACTCCCTTGGCACAAGGTGACTGACTCCCACCTTTCCCTCCCCACTCCCTCTTCCCTCCCACTCGCCCTCCGCCCTCTCGTGCACGGTTTCACTTCACTATTCCCAACTCCTCGTGTAAGTCGATTTTTTAGTCGACTCAAAAATCGACGCAAAAATCGACTCCGCCCTCTCGTGCACGGTTTCACTACAAGGTGACCCACCTTTCCCAACTCCTCTTCCTAAACCTTCTCCTCCTCGTCTTTCCTCCCCGCCTTTCCTCCTCTTTTAACGCGAATGAAGACTCACCCTCTTCCTTCCCTCTCAGCATATATCTCTTTACCCACAGCGCACCATTCCGTGCGTCAATCACTGCTCCTCTCTCCATCCATCCCTTCCCTCTCCCTTCCCCCCTAACCCCTTCCCCTCCATCCCCCTCCAACCCCTTCAACCCCCCAAATCTCCCCGATCTCCCACCAACCCCCACCACCACCTTTCACCACTCACCACCCCTCCACTACCCGCAGATACACCGGTCCCGTGGACGCACAGTCCCTCGCCAACCTCCTTTTGCACGGCCATGCGGTCAGTGCAGTGCAGGGCAGTGCAGTGCAGGGCAGTGCAGTGCAGGGCAGTGCAGTGCAGGGCAGTGCAGTGCAGGGCAGTGCAGTGCAGGGCAGTGCAGTGCAGGGCAGTGCAGTGCAGGGCAGTGCAGTGCAGGGCAGTGCAGTGCAGTGCAGGGCAGTGCAGTGCAGTGCAGTGCAGTGCAGTGCAGTGCAGGGCAGTGCAGTGCAGGGCAGTGCAGTGCAGTGCAGTGCAGTGCAGTGCAGTGCAGTGCAGTGCAGTGCAGTGCAGTGCAGTGCAGTGCAGTGCAGTGCAGTGCAGGGCAGGGCAGTGCAGTGCAGTGCAGTGCAGTGCAGGGCAGTGCAGTGCAGTGCAGTGCAGTGCAGGGCAGTGCAGTGCAGTGCAGTGCAGGGCAGTGCAGTGCAGTGCAGGGCAGTGCAGTGCAGTGCAGTGCAGGGCAGTGCAGTGCAGTGCAGTGCAGGGCAGTGCAGTGCAGTGCAGGGCAGTGCAGTGCAGTGCAGTGCAGTGCAGTGCAGTGCAGTGCAGTGCAGTGCAGGGCAGGGCAGTGCAGTGCAGTGCAGGGCAGGGCAGTGCAGTGCAGTGCAGTGCAGTGCAGTGCAGTGCAGTGCAGTGCAGTGCAGGGCAGTGCAGTGCAGTGCAGTGCAGTGCAGTGCAGTGCAGTGCAGTGCAGTGCAGGGCAGGGCAGTGCAGTGCAGTGCAGGGCAGGGCAGTGCAGTGCAGTGCAGGGCAGTGCAGTGCA